GGATGCTGATGACAACACTTAACTGGGAAGCTAAGGACTAAGGGATTACGTAGTTGTAGTTTCCGGGTTACCTTCAAAGGTAGCCCAGAATGGCTTCCCCCAAAGAATTCTGGGAGCTGTGATTTGTTAGGAGACTTCCTATCCCTCTCAGGAAGTGATAATTCCCAGAGTCCCACAGAGACCATATAGCACCGGTCCTGAAAGACCTTCAGTGGCTCCCAGAACGTTTGCGAGTACAACTCAAAGTGTTGGTGCTGACTTTTAAAGCCCTAAACAGCCTCGGCCCTGGATACCTGAAGGAGCATCTCCACCCCCATCGTTCACTGAGGTCCAGCTTCGAGAGCCTATAGGCGGTTCCCTCACTGCGAGAAGTGAAGTTACAGGGAACCAGGCAGAGGGTTTTCTCAGTAGTGGCGCCTGCCCTGTGGAATGCCCTCCCATCAGATGTCAAGGAAATAAGCAACTATCTGACTTTTAGAAGACATCTGAAGGCAGCCCTGTTTAGGGAAGTTTTTAATGTTTGATGTTTTGTCGTGTTTTTAATATTCTGTTGGGAGAAGCCCAGAGTGGCTGGGGAGGCCCGGCCAGATCGTGTGGTGTATAAATAAATTATGTTGTTGTTGTTGTTGCTGTTTCCATTAAATCATTCTGACAACTGTTGTTCTGTGAGGAGAATAGGGAGTCCTCCTAACAGCTCTCATCACCCTTAACAAACTCCAACTCCCAGAATTCTCTGGGGATGCCATCAAAGTTGTATCATAGTGCCTTAAAATGCATGGGGGAAATGTGGCCCTGCGTTGTTCCCCCTGTTCCTACAACAACAACAACAACAACAACAACAACACACACACACACACCCCGAAAACCCTCCATTTTACCAAAAACCTGTTTGTGTGCAATGGCTTTCAGAACTGTGCACACCTCAGGTTCACCACAGCTTCAGTTTCAAATTATATGGAAGCTGGTTTGAGCGGAAACAAATCAAACAATGGTATTTCCCAAGAACATAAAGATTGTGGCTAATGTGGCTTCAAACACCAGTAGTGAGAGCTCACTGGAGTAAATGGCAATGTCTGAGGCTACAATCCTACCTGTACCTACTCAAGAGGAAAGTCCCATAGGGCCCGCCCCCAGGTAAGCAGGTTAAGACTTCAGCCTTAATCTAGCAGCCCCTGCAAATGCTAAGGGGTTAATTTAACAGCTGCCCAAATTAAGTGGAGCAAGTGCACAGCTGGGAGAGAGAGGGGAGATTTAGGAGGGAAATCATATCATGACAACCTTCCCTGAAGGGCTTCATTTGTAGCTAAGGCCTTGGAAGAGGTAATTGGGGTTCCCTGTTTCCGCTTTCCACTTCCCTCCTGGCTTGTATGTATTTTGCGTGTTGCTTTGGGGCTCAGTTGTGACCTTTCATTGGGTAAGCTTAACTTTAATGCAATACTTTGGGAGAAGAAAAGCAGAGAGGGGAAAGAGACATGACTGGGGATTTAGAAGGGATGGGAGGAGGACTCCCCTGTGCTGTGGTGGCGCTGGGGAAAATGTTGAGGCACAGAAGGGACAAAGGATATTTCTAGGGTTCAAGAAAGAAAGAAGAATAGGAGTTTGGATTTGATATCCCTCTTTATCACTACCCGAAGGAGTCTCAAAGCGGCTAACATTCTCCTTTCCCTTCCTCCCCCACAACAAACACTCTGTGAGGCGAGTGGGGCTGAGAGACTTCAGAGAAGTGTGACTGGCCCAAGGTCACCCAGCAGCTGCATGTGGAGGAGCGGAGACGCGAACCCGGTTCACCAGATTACGAGTCCACCGCTCTTAACCACTACACCAGGAATGAATGGGTAGCAAATGAAAGATGAGTTTCTTTTGGTGAAGGCAGGTATTTGCCCTCTTCCTCCCTCTGGTGCCACCTACTCAGGGTTCTCTGAGCTGAGGATTGCCATTTTTGATGCCATACTTGTGCTCATTGAAACTGGACTGCTTGTTCTCCATACAAGGCAAAGGCGTATTGGTACAGAGCTGGGTGGTGGTAGCTTATAGGAAAATGAACAGTGAGCAGGTGAATGAGGACCTGACGTGAAGAGATCCTGCAGTAAGTGTGTGCAGAGTCAGTGTTGTCCTCTGCGTCTCATGTGAAGTCTGATTCTTCTGCTGGCCTCTCTGCTGTGTTGACCACTCTTTGGGGCAAGAAGCTGCCTGCAAGCAAAGACAGATTGTTTAGCTCAGATGTGTACCATTACACTGCAGTTAATTCAGAACTAAATCAATTCAGCTTGATCTCACAGAAATGTGCATCTACTTAGAAGTTATCTAGTTTTTTTAAAAACAACAACAACAACCACCACCATATTGGAGGTTTTTCCTAGTGTTGATTCTAGGCTCTTCTTATATCCTAACCAAGATCAGTGGCGTTAAATCTTGCATTAAACCAGGCAGAGGGCCTTCTCGGTAGTGGCACCTACTATGTGGAACACCCTCCCATCAGATGTCAAGGCAATAAATAACTACAGTGGTACCTCAGGTTAAGAACTTAATTCGTTCTGGGGATCCATTCTTAACCTGAAACTGTTCTTAACCTGAAGCACTACTTTAGCTAATGGGGCCTCCCGCTGCCGGTTTCTGTTCTCATCCTGAAGCAAAGTTCTTAACTCGAGGTAAGGTACTGCTGAATATGAGTGTGTAAAAGGGAATACAGAAAAGGGAGATGTGAGGAAGTCAGGAAAGAGGGTTATAAAAATAATAAGTAAAAAACTGGATTCTTATGTTTTTTAATGTTTTTCTTCTTTTTACCTTCTGTTTTTGTTTGATTGTGATAATGTTTTTCTTTTTTTGGTTGATTGTGAAGTTTGTTTTATTATCTAAAATTTCAATAAATATATTTTATAAAAAAAAACACCACAAAGTTCTTAACTCGAGGTACTATTTCTGGGTTAGCAGAGTCTGTAACCTGAAGCGTCTGTAACCCGAGGTACCACTGTATCTGACTTTTAGAAGACATCTGAAGGCAGCCCTGTGTAGGGAAGTATTTAATATTTGGTGCTTTATTGTGTTTTTAATATTCTGTTGGAAGCCTCCCAGAGTGGCTGGGGAGGCCCGGCCAGATGGGGTGGGGCATAAATAACTGTTTGTTTGTTTGTTTGTTTGTTTGTTTGTTTTTATTTCTACTACTACTACTTTGTATACTACAGTGTTGCTTTTGTGAAGATAACCATGGATCAACACGTTCCCTCACAAGAACCAGCATCAGAAGAGTCAGAAGAAGAAGCTGTGGGTGAGACCACTTATTTTAATTTATGACATTACATGTATGTCTCACCTTTTCACGAAGGAGCTTGAGACAGTGTACATGGTTCGCCCTCTCCCCATTTTGTCTCGCATCACCCCTGTTAGGTAGGCTTGGCTGAGAAGCAGGGACTTGCCCAAGGTCACCTGGCGAGCTTCATGGCTGAGTAGGGACTAGAACCCCAGTCTCCCAGGTCTCAGCCCAACACTCTAACCACTGTGCCACACTGCTAGAGCACAGAGCTGGTCATGGGTCAGTGCTAAGTTCTCTCTCTCACACGCCAGTTGCGTGAACTTGTGGGATGTTTCTAATGTTAATGCTGTATTGTGTTTTTAATATTCAGTTGGGAGTGGCTAGGGAAACCCAGCCATATGGGCGGGGTATAAATAATAAATTAATTGTTATTAAATTTATAAATAAATTATTACTTGTGGCTTGAGGGCCAACTTCCTTTTCGGTTACACCTCCCACGTGCATAGAATCGTAGAACTGTAGAGTTGGACTACAGTTTCCCTTCCAACCCCCCACAATACAATAGTCTCAGCTACAGCATCGCTAACAGAGGGCCATCCAACTTCTGCTTGAAAACCTCCAAGGAAGGAGAGTCCACAACCTCCTGAGGCAGACTGTTCCACTGTCCAACAGCTCTTACTGTCAGAAAGGTTTTTTCCATATATATATAATTTTTTTAGTTTTTCAACATATCATTTTCAACAGTAATTAAACATACTTTCATATCATACCAATTTTTTTACTTCCATCAATCACATCTGAAAATTTTCCAGTCTATTCACTAAATACACATTTCTTACTTCCACAATTACATTTAACTCATAACTAATATCTCTATTCTTTCTCTACTTTGCAATGCTTCATACATTTCTTCTTACAAAACTCCTTGTAGTACTACTAGCGTAATTTGTTGATTACAGCTGCTCTTCAGATAGTTCGTATATTTCTTCCAATCGTCTGTAAATCTCTGGTCCTGCAGGTTTTGAATCCTTCCTGTCATTTTATCTAATTCTGCATAGTCCATTAGTTTTGTCTGCCATTCTTCTTTCAGGTTTTTTCCCATATGTTTAGTAGGAATCTCTTTTCTTGTAACTTGAAGCCATGGGTTCAAGTCCTACATGCCGGAGCGGCAGAAAACAAGCTTGCTCCCTCTTCCTTGCCCTTGAGATATTTGAAGGAGACTATCATATTTCTTGGGACGCGGGTGGCGCTGTGGGTAAAAGCCTCAGCGCCTAGGGCCTGCCGATCGAAAGGTCGGCGGTTCGAATCCCCGCGGCGGGGTGTGCTCCCCATGCTCGGTCCCAGCGCCTGCCAACCTAGCAGTTCGAAAGCACTCCCGGGTGCAAGTAGATAAATAGGGACCGCATACTAGCGGGAAGGTAAACGGCGTTTCCGTGTGCGGCTCTGGTTCGCCAGAGCAGCGATGTCACGCTGGCCACGTGACCCAGAAGTGTCTCCGGACAGCGCTGGCCCCTGGCCTCTTGAGTGAGATGGGCGCACAACCCTAGAGTCTGTCAAGACTGGCCCGTAAGGGCAGGGGTACCTTTACCTTTACCTTTATCATATTTCTTGTCTCCTCTTTTCCAGGCTAAACATCCCAAGCTCCTTCAAGGATGCTGACTAGATAGGCAATTGGCCTTATCCAAAAGACTCTCTCTAATTTGCATGTTCCCCCCACCCTATTTCCACAGTTGAGGTGCCAGTGATAGAGATGGAGGAAGAACCAGTGGAGTTGCCCCCAGAAAATTTGGCAGATGAAGTGGTAGGACAGAACTTAGGCACTCAAGATTGGCCAAGATGGCCAGAGGGAGATGAGGAGCAGCAACCACAGCAGCAGCAGCAGCCACAACCACCGCCGCAGCCGCCACAGGGAGAAGATCAGTCTGTGCCTGATGCGGATGGAATCTTCCTTAAACCAGAGGAACCGGAAGAGGGCAAGGAGAAATGTCCTGCTGCTCCTCGGATCAGAATGCAAGTGATGGAAGCCCAGAACCAGAGCTTGAAATTGGAGGAAAGGAGCCGCAGTCCCTGCAGAAGCGCCGCCAAATTTCCGACGCAGCTCACCGAAAGGATGCCTCGCTCGTGTTCGCAATGCCGGAAACCTTTCAGCTGCAGCACAAGCCTGAGATCACATCAAGGGGCCCACACAGCGATGCCCTACCAGTGCGAGGAGTGTGGCAAGGTCTTTGCTCACTTAGCCAACCTGAGAGTTCACGAGAGGGGCCACGTGGGGCCGAAGACTTCCAGGTGCCCGGCCTGCAAGATCAGCTTTGCACGGTCCTTGTCCAACCTCACCGAACATCGGAGAACTCAGCGGGATACGTTGGAACAGAAATATTTTCCCTGTGTGAAAATCGAAGGCACCCAGGTGATGTTTCAGATCAGGGAGGCAGAGGAGAGGCCACACCAATGTCCACACTGTGGTGAGAGTTTTGAGGACGAGTCAAGCCTTCGTGAACATGAGAAAACCCACAGGCGGAGGACCACCTAAACTGTGTGGGATGTGCAGCCCTCTCTTAACAACCAGGGATACAGGCTTGGGCCACAAACCAAGACATGTAGGAAACCAGTTGTGTGTATTATTATTTTTTTAGCCTTTTGATGATTGTTGGGTTTAGAAGTTGCTGTACTGCTTTTGTTGCATAGCTTTTATAGTTTGGTTGCATTTTATCGTTTTATGAAAACCGTCTGTGGGAGGAGAAGCCAGATAGACGGAACGTTTTCCACTGTCAAATCAAGGACAGCCATCTTCATTATTATTATTTGTGGGGCCACGGGGATTTTCCTTTCACAGACTCGGCATCGAAACCAGATGTGGGGGACCTTGGCCCACCCCAGATGTTGCTGAAATGGATCTCCCATCATCCCTGGCCATTAGCCATGCTTGCTAAGGGCTGATAGGAGTTGTAGTTCTGCAACATCTGGAGGGCCAAAGGTTTCCTATACCTTAAATGCTCAGATATCTCTCTTTTGGACATTGAGTTGTTCTCATCACAGGTCTCTAAATGCACAGAGATGGGGTATTCCCAGAGGACGTTGGACTGCCATTCCCATCTCCCTAACCCTTGGTCATGCTGGCTGAATCTGATGGGAGTCGCAGTCCTCTGAAATCTGGAGCACAGGAGCACAATGACTATCCTGGGTCAGGATCTCTTGGCTTGTCCTTAAGTCATTTGTTAGTATGAACTTGGATAATAGCTGTTGCAGGTTTTTGATTGCTTATGTTATGTAATGGTGACTGTTTTACTAATAAAGTTGAGATGACGCTTCCCCTACCCCTTGTTTTCTACTCTCTAACAAATGCCAGCTCCCTTGGTCTGAAAAGGAAGATGAGTGCCACGCCCCATAATCACCTTTGGCTGGACTTAACCATCCAGGGGTCCTTTGCCTTTACTTTCCTTTCCTCTACTCTATTATTTTTATTAGAAAGAAGTGGCACAGCCATTTGCAGCACACTTGGGAAGACGGGAAGCTGCCTCACAAAGAGTTGAGCTCTTGGTCCACCTTGCCCAATACTGTCTAAACTGGCTGCAGTTCTTCAGGATTTCAGATAGCGCTCCAGTGGCCAAAATATATGATTATTACCTGAAGAGTCCTCCCTATTATCTGAGAATTTAGTTATACTTTGCTCTGAGAAGACCTCCAGTATATACAGTGGTACCTCGGGTTACAGATGTTTCAGGTTACAGAGTCCACTAACCCAGAAATAGTACCTTGGGTTAAGAACTTTGCTTCAGGATGAGAACAGAAATCGCACGGTGGTGACGCAGTGGTAGCAGGAAGCCCCTTTAGCTAAAGTGGTACCTCAGGTTAAGAACTGTTTCAGGTTAAAAATGGACCTCCAGAACATATTAAGTTCTTAACCCGAGGTACCACTGTATATAAAAAGGAACGAGGAACAGGTGACAGTCGTCAGCTCTGACCTCATCCTTCTGTCAGATATTTGACAGGTGGGTGACTATGCACATCTGTCAAAGTTGGCCTGCAAGGTACAAGGAGAGGGGAGAAAAGACCTGGTGCTCCAGGCTAAAAGTATCTACGCCCCTCACTACCCTGTTTGTAATTTAACACATCAATGTCCCAGACATTTGGAATGTGTGTAAGAAAATGCTGCAATTCAGGACACCACTAGATCTGGCAAACAAAATGATGCATTTAGCCATGTTAGAGCCTGGCATCATTTTCTACTAGGAATCTTGCAAGTTGTAAATACCGACCACCCGCAGCAGCCAAAAAGATTAGCAACACAAACACTTAATCATGTTAACCATTTTATAGCCTCTTGTAGGGTGATGCAAATGAGGCAGTAATTCTTTACAGAAACAAAAATGTAGGTGGAATCTAGACACATATTTAAACAATGCCATGAAAATGCATTTTGAAATGTTTTGGAAAATATATTGTATTTGCCATAGCTCACCATCGCCATCTAGTGTCACATTTGTATAATGCACTTTACAACACACTTTTATTTGCAGCTGTATAGCTGAGCCCTTGGGGCGCGGGTGGCACTGTAGTCTAAACCACTGAGCCTAGGGCTTGCAGATCGGAAGGTCGGAGGTTCAAATCCCCACAACGGGGTGAGCTCCCGTTGCTCTGTCCCAGCTCCTGCCAACCTAGCAGTTTGAAAGCACGTCAAAGTGCAAGTAGCTGCTCTGGTTTTGCCAGAAGCGTCTTAGTCATGCTGGCCACATGACTCAGGAAAACTGTCTGCAGACAAACATCGGCTCCCATGGCCAGTAAAGCGAGATGAGCGTCGCAACCCCAGAGTCGCTCGTGACTGAACTTAACTATCAGGGGTCCTTTACCATTTTAGCTGAGTCCTTGGACATTTGATCCAACTAAGCTGATCCTTTGTAGCTGACATAGCAGCAGCAGCTAGAACCAAGGCAAAAATGTTTCAACTGCTTTCATGTTTGCGTTCCTGCCAGAAGGTACAATGTGGCTACACTTACAGTAGTGCTGTTTCCTTGTTTTTTTGTATGCTGTTATGTCCACTCAAATTTGTTGCTACAGTATTATGAAACCATGCTTGCCAATGCGGATTTCATGATACTTTGTTGTAAGCCGCTTTGAGCATGATTTATTTGTGCAAAGGTCGCCCTACAAATAAAGTGATGGTTACACAGAAGCAGCCAATGCTTTGATGAAACATTCACCTTGCAGAATTTGCTACTACAGTGGTGCCTCGCAAGACGAAAAGAATCCCTTCTGTGATTCTCTTCGTCTAGTGGTTTTTTCGTCTTGTGAAGCAAGCCCATTGAAGGATTAGCGCTATTAGCGGCTTATCTGCTGATCGGATCAGCTGATAAGCGGCTTAGGAAAGGGGAGGGGGAAGGAAAAAAACCAGCAGGAACTCTCAAGACATTGTCGTCTTGCGAAGCAAGCCCATAGGAAATTCGTTTTGCGAAGCACCTCCAAAACGGAAAACTCTTTCGTCTAGCGAGTTTTCCGTCTTGCGAGGCATTCGCCTTGTGGGGCACCACTGTACTACTACTACTACGAACAATAATAATTTATTACTTATACCCCACCAATCTGGCTGGGGTTCCCAAGCCACTCTAGGTGGCTTCCAACAAAATATTAAAATACAATAGTCTGTTAAACATTAAAAGCTTCCCTAAACCGGGCTGCCTTCAAATGTCTTATAGTCTGGTAGTTGTTGTTCTCTTTGCAATCTGATGGGAGGGTGTTCCACAGGGCAGGCACCACTACCGAGAAGGCCCTCTGCCTGGTTCCCTGTAACCTGGCTTCTCGCAGTGAGGGAACCACTAGAAGGCCCTTGGCACTGGACCTCAGTGTCCAGCAGAACGATGGGGGTGGAGACACTCCTTCAGGTATACTGGACCAAGGCAGTTTATGACTTATGACTTCCTCCTTATCCTCACAAGCCGATAGCTCTTCCCCCAACACACACTTCTGGGTTTCCGGCACCAGCATAAGTGTTGGGTGGTGCCTGAGCTTCCACATTAATTGTGAACATCACCCAGTGCACAAAATAAAAACAAAAAAATAACACCTCAACTGCCCTGGAAGATCAGCTTAGTCTTAAATGCATTTGATTATTTTATTGTTGCAATTGTAGCAGCAGTCATACGGCACTATGAACATGGGGCTTTACAAAGAACAGGTACGACAATCCCTGGCACAAACAGCTTATAATCTATAACAGATGCAAGGAAACAGAAGGAGGCATGACCAACAGCCAGGGATGATGGGAGGTGCAATTAAACAACATCTGAAGGGCTCAACCTTCCCCACACCTTTAGATACCTGAGATGTTTGTTTTCAGGGCCCCACCAATATTACTGTGTCTCTAATCTGCCTCAACTTGAATTTAAGACTGAATTTTAAATTGTAACCCACCCTGGAACCTGATGATGATGAACGGGTAATAAATTTAATAAGGAGGAACAGGGTTCAAATAGAGGCAGGTGATTATTCCAAATGCATATACCTGGAATACATTGTTGATGAGCATCTCCACCGTATCGTTCAGCCCGGACACTGAGGTCTAGCGCAGAGGGCTTTCTGGGAATTCCCTCCCTGTGAGGTTACAGGGAACCAGGCAGAGGGCCTTTTCAGTAGTGGTGCCCGCCCTGTGGAACACCCTCCCACCAGATGTCAAGGAAATAAACAACTGTCTGACTTTTAGAAGACATCTGAAGGCAGCCCTGTTTAGGAAAGTTTTTAATGTTTGATGTTTTATCATGCTTTTAATATTCTGTTGGGAACTGCCCAGAGTGGCTGCGGAGACCTAGCCAGATTGGCAGGGTATAAGTAATAAATTATGTTGTTGTTGTTCCTCACCCACCTGGCTGGGTTTCCCCAGCCACTGTGGGTGGCTTCTAGCAGAATATAAAAACTAAACACCAAACATTAAAAACTTCCCAAAACAGGGCTGCCTTCAGATGTTTTCTCAAAGTTGTGCTTTATCTCCTTGACATATGATGGGAGGGTGGTTTAATGCCCTAACCTGCCCTGGGACCTTTGAGAGAAGGGTAGATGACGATGACAACAACCCTGGTCTTAATTAGAAAGGTATCTGTGCATATAGGCCAAAGGCTTCCCAGAAGAGGTAAGCGATAAGGAGGGACTTCAAGCATTGTGCAGCTAAGCTGAACTCAAGAGTAGGCTCACTGAAATCAACAAGCCCCAATTAGTCATATTCATTCACTTCAATGGGTCTTGCACCTGAAGCAACACCAAGGAAATGAGAGGTATTCACTTGGAGGAATCCTGAAAAGCTGGATGCTTCCACAGCATCCCAGTTCTCCTCCCCATTGTTCTGTCAGATGCAGGCAGTTATACAAGTCCCATGTCCTCTAAAGGAGCCAGGTTCTTGAGAGAAGGTTATCGTTGAGGGAGCCGTCAGATGTGGGCCAAGCCCCAGCAGTGCCCCAAGCAGATGTTGAGCAAGGCCTTTGCTCTGACAGCTACCCTTTGCAACTTCTGAACTTTTACGGGATCTCCCTTCTCTGTGGGCAGCTG